ATGCAGTAGTTGGTGTCAGGATTCAAGCAGAAGCTGCATTCACCGCACTGAGGAACGCAAAGAGGAATGACTTTGTCTCCTAAGGGAAAGCGCACTGTGTTACACACCTCTGATAGGGCGGCGTGGGCTACGGGCAGGGATTTCTGAGCTCAGGGCCATGCTGGCCCTTCAGGGTGCCGGACCCTCGGGGTAAGTGTGTGTGTGGTGTTTGCTTTTACCTGGCTTCACAAAGGTCACTCCTTCTCCAATGCTCTCCACAATCCCAGCTCCTTCATGGCCCGGGATAACGGGGTATTCTATATTAGGAAATAAACCTCCTATGACATCGTCATCTGTGCAACAGATCCCAGAAGCCACAATCTGTTTGGAAAGGAAGGCATAGATTAGCTAAGAACCACTCAGGGCTTTGTGTAATCCCTTTCCTGACATAATTTCCACTGGTGTGTTGGACCCCCAAGGAGGCGGGTGGGAAGGCCTCATCCAGGCCAGATTCATGTTCAGCCCCCCCTGAGCACGTCTTCTGTGCAACAGATCCCAGAAGCCACAATCTGTTTGGAAAGGAAGGCATAGATTAGCTAAGAACCACTCAGGGCTTTGTGTAATCCCTTTCCTTACATAATTTCCACTGGTGTGTTGGACCCCCAAGGAGGCAGGTGGGAAGGCCTCATCCAGGCCAGGTTCATGTTCAGCCCCTGCTGAGCATGTCTGTGCCCAGAGCAGCTGTGCCCAGGGGGGCTGAACATGAACCTGGAGAGCAGGTGGGCAATTACCTCCCTGACGTGTCTCTGCCCATTCCAGCAGCCATCAGGTAAGATGAGCTACCCTAAGTAGAACATATGCTACCCAAACTCTCATCCTCCCCACCAAGACGCATGCAAGGCTGCACCCAGTGCACAGCCACAAGGACAATAAACCCCAGGAGGGAGCCAGAACATAGTGAAAGAAGGTTTTACCTTGATACGAACTTCTCTGGCTTTTGGGGGTGCAACCTCCACCTCCTCAACAGAGAGCGGTTTGCCCACGGCCCAGGCCACAGCAGCTCTGCATCTGATCACCTGGAAGCGGCAGAGGGTTATGCTCTGCGGGGCAGAGTCCCGGCAGAAAGGTGGTTCTGAGAAGTGCACAAATCAGCGCAGCACCGTGTGCATGTCCTCGCTCAGCACACGGGCAGCTGGACAGCGACACGAGACAACCCTCCTGCAGTGCCTTGTGCTGGAGCCGTCGCTTGGGCAGGCCCCTAAGGAGGCCTCTGTCTCCCAGTGTGTCCCAGTGTCCCAATCGGTGGCAGTGTGTGCAAAGCAGAGTAGCTTTTCCTTTGCTGGTCTCCCCCATCTCTCCATGCTGCACTGCAGGCTGTTCCCCACATGGTGTTTCCAAGCTGTGAAGAGGGCCGTGGCTCTTTTCAGGGAGCTTAATCCCACGCCTGCCTCACTAAGTGTTCAGAAACACTCCGTGCAGGAACAGGCGAAGCCGTTAGCAGCTGAGGGAACAGGCACCTGCTGACCCACGTTTTGCTGCTTAAGTGGAAGCACCAGAGACAGCAGGGGTCTGTCCTCAGTCCAGCCCTGCTGAGCTGAGTGACAGAAAGGGGCCCCATCATAGGTACTGACAAGCTGCAGCTGCACAAAAGCACAGGGCTGTGATCAGCACAATTTGGATGAGTTGGAGTAAGCTCAGCAAAGAAGCCAGAAGCACGACCGGCTCGCAGCGTGAGCCCTGGGAAGCTTATGCCGCCGAGAGCAGAGCGCCTTTGAGAGAAAATAAGGGAAGTGCCTTACTTTTCCGGCGGTGGCCATCCTGGAGAAGCCGTTGGAGGAAAGGGCTCTGAGCCTGGCTGACTCGCAGCACTGCGCGATGTCCCCACTGTGCAGCTCAGGCAGCCGCAGGTCAGTGCTGATAGGAGAGCAGGGTGCACGTCCTGCTGCAGGGCTGTGCTCAGAGAGGGGGTCTGCATTTATGGAACTGCTTTATCTGTGCCTAGGTGCGCGCTGTCCTATCTCAGGGTGGGGGAGTGGCAGCCCTTGCAGTTCCTGCCTCTCTGAGCACTGCCATGTAGGCTGGGGCGGCCCTGGTGGGTGAGCGGAGCTGCTCTCTGCACTCCAGTCCACAGACAGCGCTGCTGGCAGCCCAGAGCCCAGCCCTGCCACTTAGCTCCGTTATACACATGAGGGCGGCCAAACCTTGGTCCCCACAGCAGCTGTGCACCAGCTACCATAAAGCAGAGCACCTGGCTCTAGGGCCACCTCACAAGTGCACAGTGCATCAAAACTCCCACTGCAGGGCCACGTGGAAATCCCTGCTGCAGGGGTGTACATTGCACCCCATGCTGCCCCTAAGCTCACTGTGGCTGCAAGGGGGCCCCTTCTGCCATTGCCAAAAACCTGACCCCGTGTTTGCAACTTACTGACTAGCCATGTCAGGGAGCTGCTCCTGGCTGCGTTCCTTGGGCCTTGATAAGGCATTTGGCCCCTGCCCCAGACCTACAGAGGCTAAAGGCTGTAGGGCACGCTCCAGGGAACACTGTTCCTCAGAGCACATAGAGATCCCAGGAGAATCATTAACAGCTCGGGTCTTGTCAATGTGAGCTTTGGCCATAGCTGGCGTGAAGAGCTGCTGGTCACTATGCTTTGCGTACTGCGCGGGAGCAGGCGCCCACCTCCAGCACTAAGCAACTCTGGCAGCTGGCAGCCCTACCTGGCACCAGGGTGTCTGCTGGCTCACGCATGCCAACAACGGCTGTTTGTCTCCTGAAATGCCTCAGGGGGAGCTGGGAGCAAGCAGGCAGCTACAGTCAGGCTGCCCGGGCTCCTGGAGGGGAGCAGGAGCAGGATCCCGCTGGCCTCCCCTGTGCTCCTCGAGGGAGTTTGCATGGGCTCTACCCAGAGAGCCAGGGCTGCCATAAGGATATGGCATGGTGACACAGCCTGGGAGCACATTCCTCAGAGGTGCCGTGTCCCCTCACCTCCTACGTGATCACCACAGGGCATGGCTTGCATGGTCTTGAAAGGAGAGCAACAAGGTGCTGTCATTTACTTCTTTGCTCATTTTTTTTCCACCTCCTTCCACTCTCAAAGTTACCAATGTATTTGCTAGCACTGATGTAATGGGAAATGCCTCAGAAACCCCTCTCAATCTTGGATTTGTGCGATCCTTTACCTCTCTGTTCATCCTCTTCCTACCCCTGCAAGCCAGGGTTAAACAAGCCTTAGTTGGAGTCAGTTTGGCAGGTGTTGCTCCCACCCACCTCGAGGCAAGCCAGGTTTGCCTCCACAAAGCACTATTTGGAAACAATACCCTGAGCACTGAGGTTCTTTCCATTACAGGCATGTTACTACACACAAAATGAATTAAAATGACTTAAAACCCTCTCCAGGGGTTTTCAGGGATCTGGCACACAGTCAGATGGCACAGAAACTGCCTGGACAGCGATGGGATCTCTTGGACAGCGCACCACCAAGGAGGTGTCATCTCA